TATATATATATATATATATGACATTTAAAAGGAGATCAGCTGGGACTCATGCATACAGCTTGGGCCAGTACGTGCTTGAAAGCATTTGTCACGTATGTCAAACATCAGACAGTGGTCCTTATGAGTAATGAAAAATGACACTGTATAACTATCTCTAAAATTGGTAAAACACAATTTGAATTATAATTTAATAAATTCCACTTTTTACAAAACAGATACCTCTCATGACTTGGGTTTTGTTTCATGCCATTATTTCAGCTTATTAGGTAAAAATAATGATGGCCAGGTATGGTGGTGCATGCCTGTAATCCCAGTGCTTGGGAGGCTGAGGCAGGAGGATCCTCGTAAGTTTGAGGTCAGCCTGGACTTAATAGTGAGTTCAAGGCCAGTCTGAACTACACAGTGAGACTGTCTCAAAAACATAATATGATTACCAAAGACAGAATGGCATCACAGCATCATGGGAAAAAGGCGTTTGCCTCATTATATTCGATAGCAATCATTCTTCCCTGAACAACCCCATTGCTGACAAAAATTCCTTGGAAAATATTGTTACTGATAAATCATACCACCACTTATAACTTTGGAGAGATTACTATAATACATGATATGTTTGGAGAGAAGTTATGATTCTGCTAGTCTGTGGCAATCTGAAACTCACAGCAGTTTAGGTTACTTTTGGTACATATGGGGGAAAACTTACCACCAAATTAAGTCATTGAAATATAAATAAGTACAATTTTGATGGTAAGAAAACAAATTTTATGTAAATGATAACACGGGCTCTAATATGAGAGAAAAATGGGCAAAATTATGTACATGATATACAATGTTGGGACATAAGCAGGTATCTTGTCATGACTTGAGAAACATAACATGCTAATCTACAAATTGTGTGAAAACAAATCAACTTTGTCAGAAACACATGCTCACAAGTTTCTGAAAATGTATCTTAATGTGAAATATGGCATATTAAAAATATATTTTGTTACAGAGTATACACACCAAAAATTTAAAACAAATGCAGTGACAAATCCCAACAATTAACAAAATAAACATTTTTAGTGGCCTATACCTCCCAGTTTTGAAGACGATAGAAAAACTACATAAATACTAACTATTTGACAGTAAAGTTTCAATTCACCATGCTTAAGATGTTATGCATTAAGGTCAAAGACCCACAAAAATACCTAATTACATCAACTCATTTATATATTAAATATTGCAAATATATAATTCAGATATTTAAGTGATTTACTGAAAAACATAATGTACGTAGATACTTTAAGATATCTCTAACTGGGATATTTTCTGGAGAAATACTGACATCAAGCTTTTTGTATTAATTATTCCTACAAGTCTCCTCTACATAGAAAATTTTCACAGGATCTTCAAACTAGGCTTGCATAACATATATAGTTTCTCCCCAATGAGACTTCTTTCATGTATGACGTGTGTACTGAAAGCATTCCTACATTGCTTACACATGTATGGTTCTTCCCCATTGTGAGTTCTTTTGTCTTTGGCAAACAGCATGAATGGTGAAAGCTTTCCCACATTGCTTACATATATAGAATTAATGCCCAGTGTGAGTTCTTTCATGTCTTTTACAATAACCGTGTTTACTAAAAGCTTTCCCACATTGCTTACACACATAGGGTTTATCCCTTGTGTGATTTCTTTCATGTTTTCTGCAATAACGTTGTTTACTGAAAGCTCTCCCACATTGCTTACATACATAAGGTTTCTCTGGTGTGTGAGTTCTTTCATGTATTTGACAAGCACCACGCACTGTGAAAGATTTCCCACATTGCGTACATACATAGGGTTTCTCCCCAGTGTGAATTCTTTCATGTACTTTACAAGCACCAAGCAATCTGAAAGCTTTCCCACATTGTTTACATACATAGGGTTTCTCCCCAGTGTGAATTCTTTCATGTATTTTACAACAACCTTGTGTACTAAAAGCTTTCCCACACTGCTTACATACATAGGGTTTCTCCCCAGTGTGAATTCTTTCATGTATTTTACAACAACCTTGTGTACTAAAAGCTTTCCCACACTGCTTACAAACATAGGGCTTCTCCCCCGTGTGAGTCATTTCATGTCTTTTACAACAACTGTGTGTATTGAATGCTTTCCCACACTGCTTACATACATAGGGTTTCTCCCCAGTGTGAATTCTTTCATGTACTTTACAATGATCTTGTGTACTAAAAGCTTTTCCACAGTGTTTACATACATAGGGTTTCTCTCCTGTGTGAATTTTTTCATGTTTTTTACAATAACGTTGTGTACTAAAAGCCTTCCCACATTGCTTACATACATAGGGTTTCTCCCCAGTGTGGATTCTTTCATGTATTTTACAATAATTTTGTGTACTAAAAGCTTTTCCACATTGCTTACATACATAGGGTTTCTCCCCATTGTGAGTTCTTTCATGTTTTTGACAATTACCGTGTGTACCAAACATTTTCCCACATTGCTTACATACATAGGATTTCTCCCCACTTTGAGTTCTTTCATGCCTTTGATAATTATTATATGTACTAGAAGCTTCCCCACATTGCTTATATACATAGGGTTTCTCCCCAGTATGAATTCTTTCATGTATTTTACAATAATTTTGTGTAGTAAAAGCTTTCCCACATTGTTTACATACATAGGGTTTCTCTCCTGTGTGAGTTCTTTCATGTATTTGGCAATGACTGTGTCTACTGAAAGCCTTCCCACACTGCTTACAAGCATAAGGTTTCTCCCCAGTATGAATTCTTTCATGTATTTTACAATGAGCTTGTGTACTAAAAGCTTTCCCACACTGCTTACACACATAAGGTTTCTCTCCAGTGTGAATTCTTTCATGTATTTTACAACAACCTTGTGTACTAAAAGCTTTCCCACACTGCTTGCATACATAGGGCTTCTCCTCAGTATGAATTCTTTCATGTATTTTACAACAGCGTTGTGTACTAAAAGCTTTCCCACACTGCTTACATACATAAGGTTTTTCCCCAGTGTGAGTTCTTTCATGTTTGTGACAATTACTATGAGTACTAAAAGCTTTCCCACATTGCTTACATATATAGGGTTTCTCCCCAGTATGAATTCTTTCATGTATTTTACAATAATCTTGTGTACTAAAAGCTTTCCCACAGTGTTTACATATATAGGGTTTCTCCCCACTGTGAGTTCTTTCATGTATTTGACAACGACTGTGTTTACTAAAAGCCTTCCCACACTGCTTACAGGCATAAAGTTTTCCCCCACTGTGATTTCTTTCAGGTTGTTTACAATGTTCATGTTGACTGAAAGCTTTCCCATATTGCTTACATACATAGGCTTTCTCCCCAATGTGAATTCTTTCATGTATTTTACAATAATCTTGTGTACTAAAAGCTTCCCCACATTGCTTACATACATAGGGTTTTTCCCCAGTGTGAGTTCTTTCATGGATCTGAACATCATTGGGTGTGCAGGAGGCTCTCAAATTTTTCTTATGTAGAAAGGTCTTCTCTCGAAGGTGGGTTCTTTCATTAACATCAGAGTAGGATTTCCCACATTGATCATATTCGTAGGGTTTCTCTCCAGTCTCTGTGCTTGTATCCTTCTGAAAGGACTGAAAATCACTGCAGGTTCTTCCATATTCATTAGATTTACACAGCTTCTCTTCCAACCCCAAGTGTTCGTATGTCTTCAGTCCAGTGTGAGCTGTGATGGGCACATTCAGTGACAAATGCCCAAGCAGGGGCTTTCTGCAAGCAAGGTTGTCAGTTGTTCTTAAACCAGCTTGTTTCATGTCCATATTATCATCTGGAGTCCAAAAGAATATTTCTTCATACTTATTCCAACCTTTATTTTGATAACATTTCTCTACCTCTTCATTTCTGTACAGAAACAAAACAAAAAAGTCACAATAAAATAGGTCTCCATTTTAATGATTTACCACAAATTGTGGTTTGATGTCTCCTAAGAAATTCTGACAATGAATTAACTGAATGCCCTAGCAGATACCTTCAAAACAGCTATTTCCAAGAGTGGCTTTCATTTGGGAATTTTTAAATTGGTATATTTTGCAATACAGAAGGCTTAAGTTTGATTTTGGGCAACTAGTACATATGTATATCGCATATGGATCACTCTGATAGCTTTTCCCCATCACTCTCCTCCTCCTCGCCCCATTTGTCTTCCCCATCTCTAAAAAGTCAGGCTTTTATTTTTAGGTACCAGGGATTGAACTTGGAACCTTGTACTTGTGAGGCAGGTGGTGGCACCACTGAGCTAAATCTCTGGCCCTGGGCTTTTATTTTTACATCACCTCTTCTTTATTTTACTCCCAAATTTATATTTTTGGTTTCTCATGTAATAGAAAGCACATGACATTTCACAGTCTGAGTCTGATTTATTTCACTTAACACTACAGGTTGAAGACCCATCCATTCCTTTTGACAAATGTCCATTCATCTCCATGGCCAATTATGTAGCACTTTTTTTTTTTTTTTTTTTTTCCTTTTTAGTGCTGGGAATTAAATACAGGCCTTAGCATTGATTTACATCTCCAGCTTTTTTATTTCTTATTTTGAGGAAGATTCTCAGTGATGATTAAGTTGCTCAGGCTGAGCTTCAACACACCATTCTGCTGAATCAGCCTCCCAGAGTGCTGGGAATGCACATTATACTGAGCCTATCCCAAGTTTTCTTTATCCATGCATCCAATGATGGAGATCTAGGCTGATTCCAGGGCTCAGCCATTATAAATTGTCCTGCTTTGAGTATGTGTATCCATGTATCAGAATAATATGGTGATTTTAGCCCTCTTGGGACTACACCCAGGAGAGGTATTCCTGGATCAGACAGAACTTCTATTTTTATTTTCAGATGTCTGTATGCTGATTATTATAGTGGCTATACTTAACTTTCCCACCAACAATGATGGAGGGTGCCTTCTTCGAATTTTAAAACATGAATAGACTCAATTCTTTGGAGGATGGCTTGAAAACACTTGTTATTACAACACTAGTATTCATTTGTACTTTGAATACTGTTTCAATGTTAGTGATACTTTTGTGTACTAAATGTCTCATATTCACATGCATATATAGATATCCTGAAGATGGGTTTCTGTCAAAACAGAAAATTCATTTCTTTTCCTATACACCTATATACAATAGCTAAATGCAATTTCATACATTTTCATGAAGGTGATCAAGAAAGAAGATTTTTTATACTTGTATGTCAGGTAGTGTCACTTGTTGCATGATGAGTACTAGCACAGCTTCCTATATTGGAATATTTTTGAATTCAGTTGTCAGATTACACATACTAAAAGTATATACATCTTTGGAGAATACTTGTGAGATTAAATAAATTTGAACATGGCCACATTTCCCTTGTTGTGATATTTCTGATGACACAATGATTCTTGAAGAACATTCCTTTTCATTTTGAGTGCAAATTACCTTAGATTTCCCCAGGAATTTTTGTATACTTCTTCAACTTCCTGGTTATCCCAGGCTCTTCCTGAATTATAGGCATAGAAATATAAGGAGACACTATATTATTACACAAAAATGAATAGATTCCAGTTAGATTCATTGTATAACATAAACAGGCTGAGATAGTCTTCAAAATGTTTTCACATTCTTTGTAATGAAACTGCACTGATGAGCAACAAACAACGTTCTCTTTCTGTATAAATGAGAAAGTGGTGTCATCCTTACCTATAGCAGCCATGTTCCTAAAGGTTTCCCCCATCACATCTCTGTAGAGCTTCTTTTGGGATGGATTCAGCAAAGCCCACTCCTCCATGGTGAAGTTCACAGCCACATCCTCAAAGGTCATTGCCTCCTACATGGTCACATATATATTTCTTGAAGGAAGGGTGAGACTCCCAGTCTGGAATATCGCAATTCCTCTCATAAAAAGTGGAATTGAAAGCCAGGTGTGGTGATGCATATCTGTAATCCCAGCACTCAGGAGGCTGAGGCAGGAAGATTTCCATTGGTTCAAGACTAGTGTGGGCTACTCAGTGAGTTAAAGAACAGCCTGAGCAGCAGAGTGAGACCTTGTCTCAAAAAAGCAAACAAAACCAAAAAGCTGAATGGGGGCTGAATCCTTTAAGTATTAACTCTGTGTCTTGGTCATCAAATCTATGTGTATGCACATTTTTTCAGACAGAAACTCTGAGGCTAGATTGCCACTCATTGCTAAAGTAACAGCAGAAGAAGAGCACTGGTTTTCGTGCTGGGTCACTGCAAGCATAGGTGTGCACTATCTCTACAGCAGAGCTCACAGAGGGAATGTACAAGATCACCACCCACAAAACACTGGGGCACATGACTATCTAATGAACGGTTTGATAGACCATAGGGAATATCTCTTTTTAAATCTTTTTATTTACAGCACTGAGTCTTTCTTTTTTGATTGTACTTGGGCAGCATTTTGAAACTTGAATTTGGTTTCATAAAAATGCTATACATCAAATAACATTGATGAATAATAATTAAAATGTTAATGAAAAAAGTTTTATTTGAGCAAATCTATGAAAACTGAAAATAGGGAAAGGTTGGCATTTTATCTTTATAGCACAGTGTCACCAAATGGTCACCTTGCACTCAGATAAAAGAAATTCTAGGGGTATATGGGAGAGTAATGAGGGGAAAGAGATGAATAAAATGTATTTTATGCATTGAAAAACAATACATCACAAAGTAATTAGGTTCGATTAGGAAGCCTTTAGCCAGGTGTGGTGGTGCATGCCTGTAATCCCAGCTCTTAGGGAGGCCAATGCAGGATTGCAATAAGAGTTCCAGGCCAGCACTGGCTACACTATATATTCAAGGCTAGTCTGCAATACAAAGTGAGACCCTACCTCAAATGCTCCCCGCAAAAAGGATGACTTCCAGAAAAGTTGTCATTTATGAATGACATTTTAGATTTGTTAAAAATTTATAGTTGTACAGTATAGTAAGAATCTAACAATATTCAACACCTTTTAAGCAAGAAGGTTGATGGCTTACATAATATAATGAAAGACATTCAAATTTCACCTTTCACGAGACTGTCCTACTAGTAGAGAGAGTGACAAGTGGATCTCAGGAAAAGAAGACAGTCTTGAATGGGTCCACATGTTTATAGAATACTGATTCAAGATAGAGCTGGTGCTGTCTCTGGAGGAAATCACAATGTGCTCATTTATGTTCAGGGAGAAACAGGTACGTGGAAATCTGTATACCTTCTATGTACAGGAATTAAGTTGCATACTAAAATAGGAAAGATAAACTTGAATGCCTTGAGAATTCATTGTGAAATAAACTTTAGGTGTGAAAAAAGTGTTTTCTCAGCATAAAATCAACTAACCATCAGAATTAGGATAAATACAAATATATGAAAATCATAGGAAATAAACAAGGCGAAGAAAATATTTGCTGTGTACACTGTATAAAATTTTTGTAAAGATCAGAATGAACACAAATCTCAAAAATTACAGTAGGAGGAGGTGGCAGCTCAGGAACAGTGAGAAGCAGTGAGGGGACCAAGCGGGGAGAAGGCCAGATCGAGCTGGTGCCAGCACCTATGGCTGAGGAAGCCTAAGGCCCACCCCTTTGCCTCCCTTCTCTCTGCTCCTGCTCCTGTTCTCCCAACTACAGATCACCATGTCCTGGCCAGCAGCCAAAGTCAGTAAGGAGTTCAACTTCAACCATGACAAAAAAGAACAAGAAAAACCAACTGACCATATGGATGAGGTACAAAATGAAACAAACTTAATGAAGAAGCCAGTGAGGAGATACTGAAAGTAGAACAGAAAAATAACAAACTCCACCCGCCAACCACTTTTTCAGAAGAGGTCAGACTTGATTGCCAAATCCCCCCCCCCTCCGCCATTTTTTTGGTACCAGGGATCGAACTTGGGTCCTTGTGCTTGCAAGGCAGGTGGCAGAATCACTGAGCTAAATCCCCAGACCCCCAAATCCCAAATTTTTGGGTAACAACATTTGTTTACCATTTACCAGTGCCTGTACTGCTTGGGGAGGAAGATGAAGAGAGGCACTGCATTATTAGTCGAACTGACAGAATTTGAAGATACAAAATCGGGTTCCAGAATAGATTTTTATTTTGATGAAAATAAAGTTCTCTCCAAAAAATTTCATCTGAATGAGAGAGGCAATCCATCTTCGAAGTCCACTGAAATCAAATGGAAATCTGGAAAGGATTTGACAAAATGTTCAAGTCAGTCGCAGAATAAAGCCAGCAGGAAGAGGCAGCACGAAGCACCTGAGAGCTTCTGTCCCTGCTTTCCTGATCATTCTGATGCTGGCACAGATGGGTTTAGGAGAGGTCATCCAAGATGCTATTTGGCCAAATCCTTTACAGTACTACTTGGTTCCTGGTATGGATGACGAGGAGGGGAAGGAGAAGACGACGGCGATGATGAAGATGAAGGACTAGAAGACACTGATGAAGAAAGGGATGAGGACGAAGGTGATGATGAAGGGGAGGAAGGAGAGGAGGATGGAGGAGAAGATGACTAAGTGAACACTGATGGATTTGAACCTTCTCCTTTATTTTTTCTTTCTCCAGTTCCTGGGAGCAAGTTACAGTCTTCCCCTGCCCTTTTGTGCTCAGTTGCTCGGCTCTTGAAGCCTCTTTTCTCAAACATCATGGTTCTTGACTTATTTTGTGGAGAGATACTTTGAGCAGAATACAGTGGGAAAAGGATGTCTACACTTTTCTATTTTAAGTTCATTTTGATTCCTCCTGTCTCCACAAACTGTATGGATTTAACACCACCATGCTCTCAAACCCTCCCGCACTCCCTTTGCTCTGCTGGAAGCTGGAGGGTGCTAGGCCCCTGTGCAGTAGTACATAGAATTCTAGCTTTATTCCTCCTTTCTCTCTGTTTGGGCTCAGAGATTACACTGTTATCTCTAGATGAATATGGACTGTTAGTGTTTACCAACATGTACCTGTCTACTTTCTCTTGTTTAAAAAATGGAAAAAAAAAACCCTTTAAAAATGGGGTATAGAAAGTCAGCAAAAGGTGGGTCTGAGATGTTTGGGTGAGTTAAGTGGACATTTGACGGCATAGCTTCTCCTTTGGCATGCTTAATTGTGATGCTAATGGACATCCTTGTAGTTTAAGATGACATTTTTAAAAATTCTTAAAAAAAAATTCTTTCCTAACGATGATTTGAACCCTGCCACTCAATGGGAGAATCAGCAGAACACGAGGGGTCCTATTTGGAATTGACATTCCTATTGTACTTTTGTTGGTTTGTCTTAAAATTCTTTTTTGTCTTCACTGCAAAGGAAAAGGTAATATACAGTTTTAAACGCTCTGAGTGCACAAGTTGCTTTGTTACAGTAATACTACATACACATGCACACACACAAAAAAAGAAAATTAGCGAAAGAACAGCACCATAAAAATGAAACTCATTCTCCAGATAACAGCTTTCAATGCTCATTATTAATGTAGGTTATAGACAATAGAGAAGAAACTATTAAAAGTATCAAAGGCATTATTAAATAATTAATGTAATTTGTATAATAAAATCTACAGGACAAAAATTATAAAATAATACCAACGGATACAGACAAAGCACAAGAAGGAAATTAGTGGGCAGATATTAAGATGAAACACATAAAATTGTCTTCCCATTCATACAGTTTCATGGTATATGTTGGAAAAATTAAAATACCAACAGCCTGCCTCATAAGTGCAAGGACCCGAGTTCGATCCCTGGTACCCCCCCCAAAATAAATAAATAAAATAAAATAAAATACCAATAAAAAAACTAATGGAATTACTAAGATAAAGAACCACTGAGTATATCCCTAGCTTAATATACAAGAATATGCCATGTCTTTATGAAGTGAAGTGGAAATTATAAATCTTACAATATAATGAAGCCTTCACAGTAAATTATACAAATGTTAAAAGTGCATATATGAAAAATGTTCCACACTAAATTAATAAACATAAAACCACAAAAACTACAGAAATATGATAAAATATACTAAATGAACAAATATACATGGTGTCCTATTTATTTCACTTAAGAGTATGGCCTCAATGTGCACAAATGTCTCTAGTTTCTCGTTCTTTATGGCTGAGTAGCACTTCATTTTATAAAAAAAACCCACATCTTTATCCGGTCTCTAGTAAATGGACAAATATAAATAAATTAAACCATTCCACATATTGGCAAAATACAAAAACTTCATATGAAAATTTTATAAAAATCTTGAATTTTTTCATCTGCAGTCCAGCATGTTTTCTTATTCTATTAAAAATTTTTATTATCACTTGAAAATAATCAATAATAACATTTTAACTGCATCAAAATATTAAAAAAAAACTAACAAAATAACCCAGGCCCAGAGCCAGTGGAATAAAGGAGTGAAATGGCTGAAATATGAATTTCCCTATAATTCTACGGGCAATAAGTTGAGGCAAAGAAATCGTGAATAATCTTTTCAGCATGATAATAGTGATATATTAACCTCAATTATTAAATTATTCAAAACTCCAAAGAATTAAAATCAAATACCTCTCTTGATGAGACTGTTATGATCCAAAGAGATTTCTGAAAATCCTTCTTATAGCCACCTTGAGGGTAGCTAGATGAAATCAGAGAGATGCACTGGAAGTAACCTTAAGTGGTTTGTTTGTTTGCATCATGATTCTGTGGATCTTTAGACATACATATAGGAAATGCAAAAAAAAAATTTCTTTTTTTACATTAAAGCCAGGCATGTTGGGGCACATCAGTAATCCTAGCACTCAGGAGGCAAAGGCAGGAGGATCACTGTGAGTCAGGCCAGCCTGAACTATATAGTGAGAT